ATACAGCCCTATTAAAGGTCCTTTCACAGAGAAGAATGCAGCTTAGCTCTCAGATTGCCAACCAAGAGGTGGATTCAGAAGGTGTCCCCCCGAGATCAGCTCTGTACCCTAAAGCCGTAGTGACAGCAGGAAGCTGCGTACAGGTGCCRGACTTGGTTCATGGTTTAGTTCAGGACCAGGTTCACAGAGCCCAGCTGTATCTGCACCAGGGCCAGCTGGAGCTGCTCTGTCCTGGCTCTGAAGGAAAGACCCAGGAAGACATCCTGAATGGTCCTGCAGATGCCAGAGTCCAGGAGCTGTCACTTGTTACAGTGCACGCCAGCACRCGAGAAGCCAGGTATTTTCTCTCATGCCCCAGCTCAGCTTTACTGTGATTTCTTGGGTTTGCTCTGTTGTCATGCTCAGGAATCACTGAAATGCAATGTTAGCCCTGTTAGCCCAGTAAATCCCACATTTTTTAAAAAAAAATTATTTGCTTGTTGGTTGGTTATTTTGTTTTGTTTGCCTTCCCCGAAATGAAAGCAGTGGCTTTCCAGTCATTTCAGCATTGCTGCTGTCCTGCTGTCAGCCCAGCAAAGCCTGGCCATGCAAACTCAGTCCAGCAAAGGGTGCGACTGTCAGCACGGTGATACCTCCATCTGCTCCTGGTTTCTCAGAAGTGGTCCTGGGAACACATATGCTAACACCAAGAAAAACAACATTTATAACCGTGGCTGTTTAAGGTCATGGACACCGCCTAACTGCATTGGTTCAGTATCTACTGGCAAGGAAAGGCCTTGGCAAGTTAGTTTTCAGATAATCTGTGTGTTAGACCAATGTCTGTCTCTCTCTATATATGTATTACACCATAAAACAGCTTCCCTATACACAGAATTAGGTAAATCTTTCCTAGCTGCCTCTTTCTGTTGCTGCATATCAAACATCAAATCTGTAATCTGGTTTAAGGTGGCAGAATGCAGTTAATCCAGGCTCAGTTCACATGAGCAAGCGCAGTTACGTTCCTTAGCTATGTGTAGCTCTTGTGATCATATAAGGGATGTTGGTGCCACAGTGTTACCCAAATTTCCTGTATTTCTGCAGATTCTAACAACATGCCGCTGATGATTAATTATAGTAATTTTGTTGTTAATATCACCAGATTCATATCACAGCAGGTACTGCTTGTAATTATTAAGCCTGTTTGTTATTAGAGATGCGTAAGTGGTGAAATACAATGAGAAACAMTTTAACAGATAATAAAATTAGCCATTCATGGAGAGTCAGTCTGCTAGTGATCYGCAAACACTGTCCGTCATCTCCATTTTCTCCATGAGCATTCCTTAGAGTGCTCATTCCCTGGAGGAGCAGCTTTCCCAGGGCTGCATACTAAGGATCGCACGCCATTTGTCTTTGTTACGTTTTGGCTCTGCTCTCACACAGCTTAGCTTCATAAAGACGTTGTAACAAAGGGGTATTTGATCATATAATTTGCTGTAAAGCAGGCAGTGCACTAAAGAACTTTCCTAAAAGATTCTTTGTGAAACACAGTAGAAATTTGAGAAATCCATTCAGTTCCATAACTGTTGGAAAATACCTTGTATGTAGATTTCTTAGCTGTTAAATTTTCAAAACCTATTAGTACTAGTAGTTTCAAAACCTATTTTCACATCCATATGATCAGGTGGTTTCATTAGTTGGATATGTTCAAATTAAAGGCAGCTGTCTTTTTTACACGTCTTTCTTTCTTTAACATCTCCGTTTGCTTAAATTCTAAATTCTTTCTAATGTTTGTTCTAAATACTGGCAGGTACAATAAATAACTTGTCTAATCCAAAATTACATATTTCTCCTCGATCCGTTTTTAATAGAATATGAAGAGTAAACTTTGAGTCACTTTCCAAAAATATATCATCATGTGTTAAAAATTAATATGCTCTAGGTTATAGCTTTAAAATATTTTCACTATTTTTCTATAACAAATTGCTCTTTTGGTTTTGGCCTGAAATATTTCACAAAGGCATAACAATTTTCTGGCTGAGAAGATGGAATAAGGTAAAAGGCTTAAGATATAATGAATTAGGGGACCTTTTATACACAGGAGATGATGATACTTGAAGTGGAGGCATCTGTGCCTTTCAGATGAGGAATGAGGAAAGCTCTCAAGTGTGTACCTGCTTGCACTGAATGCAGTTGGGTGGTGGATTTAAAGACATGGAAAGAAACTTTCTGTACCCTCAAGTGAAAAATAAGTCAGGAGGAAAGAAACAAGCAAATAGGAGATGGAAAAACAAGAGCCATTTTGATAGCTATTTAAGCAGGCCACTAAGAAAAGAAAAAAAAAAATCTACACAAATGCTAGAAATCCTAGAAATATAATGGAGGAATTACAACATATGTCACTAAATGAAGACACTGCTATATTAGGCATTATCAGAAACTTGGCTGCTGTTGGAGGGACATAATACTGGGTACAGATGTCTACTTTGAACCATCTTGCCCATTCTTATGTTCTGGTCAGCCTGCTTTTTCAAATCAAATACCGTATGAGATATGTGCGTGCTGAAATGTTAGCTGTTTTTACAACTTTGTTCCTGCATATCCGAAACCATGACCCTCTACATGAGGGTCCAACTCGGAAGGGACTGCCTAGAGTATAATATCATCTACTGACCTCCGTGCAGAGCTCGTGGCTGAGCCTGGATACCCCACCACAATACTAATAAATACACAGTGAGGCTGGATACATGCCTGATTTTATGCTTCTCAAGAGTCACAGGGTGAACAGCAGTCACCTGTGCCCCTGCACTGCCATTTCATCTCTGCAGAAGGCCCCAAGAGTGCCTGTGAATTAACTGGGAAGTAAATCCTATCCGGAAAAAAAAAAAAAAAAAAGAAAGAAAAAAAAAAGAAGGAAAATACGCATACAATTTAACTGGAAGAAGAGAGTTTCACTAGACATGAGAATGCAGCAAAACCTTCAAACACTGCACACAGCTGCAGCTGCATCTCTGCAATGAGTGCTAAGATTGAGAGCAGCTTAGCCAAGCGCTGCTTACCAGTAAAGACTGAGAGCTGAAAGCAGTGCACTTGTAGAGAAATGAGATCTCCTACTCTGCCTTTGGCGTAGCATTTCTACTAGCATTATTAAGCCCCACACTGCGTCCCATCGACCTCAATTAAACCCTGAGAGGAAACACATCCCAACGAGCAGCAGCCGGAGCACAGACTTCCATCTGCCTAAATCTCGGAGTATTCAAAAATAACATTCAGAACTTTGAAAAATAATAGCCTGCTGAGGCTAAAGCACTGAAAATGTGGGATGACGTGCCTAAACACATGACCTGGTGAAGATTATGAGCCATGCTTTAAAGCACACTGCCACAGGATCAGGCTTCCATTGAAACGTACTGTCATATAGGGGGTAGGGGGAGGATTCCAGTTTAACACAAGGACATGGCATTTCAGGCTCCCAAAAAACTATTAATATCCGCTGTCCTGCAGCAAATCACATCTTCCTTGACAAGTCGGACAGCTGTTCTTTCTCTAGTTTCATTTTATTATCTTTAATAGCCACATATTGTCGTGGTGCCTTGAAAAAATATTTGTGRCTTGATGGCTAGGTCCCCTCCCTCCTGCTGTAAACCTGGTTCACAGGTTCATCTGATCCCAGTCTTGCCTCCAGAACTTAACGTTGGCCCTGAGTGCCTTGGAAATGGCATTGTGCTGTGCCCCTCTCAGGTGTGTGAGAGCACAGCATATATTCTAGAGGTACCTGCCTCTCCATGCGGCTCATCAGGTGGGGAGAAATCTTTCCTGATGCTCATAGAATACCTTAGGGAGGAGATTAGGTGGGAGATTAAGAGATTAGGAAGTCTCTGGAGATTGGGTGGTCCAGGCGCCTACTTTGAGAAGGACCAACCTTCAAGTTATTTAAAATTATTCTGAGTGTTTTCCAGCTGAGTTTTCACTTCTCCAAGAAGGTTGATCCTACAGCCTCTTGAGGCTGTTCCGATCTCCGACCAAGGTCGCTGTGGAGATTTGTTTCCGTTTTTTTAAGGTATGGGAATATAGGTACCAGGAATAGGGGGGAGGAGAGCGTAGGAGCTGACCAGCTTCAAACTCTTTAATGGGTCTCCACTCTCCATCGGAAAGGAGCACCAAGCAACAACYGCCAGCGGCTTTGGAGTACTTAGAAACAACCTTTAAACTACATAGAAGGCTAGTTTTAAGGAACATCCCAGGGGAATCATACATACCCTCATGCAATATTAGCTGCCCAAAAGCCCCTATTTTCTGTTGCTGTTGGCTGTCTTATGGGATTATTAAGAAGGTATCCCTAATTAGGGGTAGATTAGGACTAGTGTTAGCCGTGAGTTTTCCAGACAGGGAAAATGAGCACAAAAMCAGTATTTGAATGATGCTGAAAGATGAAGAAATCTTTTAATGATAGCATGAAAAGATTTGACTAATCAATCAAGAGCTGTAAGTGAGAAGACTTTTGTTTTATAGGAAAAGGAGTGCATTTACTTCCTTTCCTCTGATCAAATTTCACTGAAAAAAAGATGAATTTAGTTTCGTTCTCTGGCAGAAAAAGAATAAACCTTTTGGCCTGGACTGTAGAAAAAGCAACTTAAGGCAAGTGGGCTGGCCACATTTAGCATGGAGTTTTTGAAAAAAAAAAAAGGAATTAAACAGAGTTCTCTCCTTATGTGTTCTCCAGTGGCAGTTGTCCCATGGAAGTTGGGCATTCACAGACCACACTGCATTGCTCATGCTTTGATGGAGCAGTTAGCATTAAAATTAACCCATTCCACACTCAAGAATGGGAAAAAGGGATTTTTGTTCCAGCTGTRCATATTGTGTGCTCCTTCTCTTTCCCTTGCCCTCACCTTATACAGCTGAGGCTCACAAAAGAAATTTCAGCTCACATTTGAAACTATCAAGGTAAAAAAAAAGGTAAATTTGGGTCCTTCACCCTGAAAGTAGCTGTAAATAACTGTAATGTTTTATGAATTGCACAGGTCCCCAGTGGTACCCTTCCCGCGTTGGCCTGCAACTCGAACGCAGTAAGTATTCATATGCAAGTCAAACATCTATTWAACATATTGCTAACCTTTTCCTCTCAATTATATTACTCCCTTTGTATAAGTTATTAGGTGAGCTGTTAGCATTTTGTCATTAATTGATATCTGTGATCTACSTACTAACATCCATATCAATAATCTGATGATTTTCATATCTGCCACATATAAAATTGTTTCAGAATAGAGCTTCTTATCAAATAATGAAGACGGCAGTTTTGAAATGTGATACCATTTATGGAGAATTCCACTAACTGCAGTGTCAGTTGTAATCCTTGTTCCGAAAGCCTCRTTAGGAGCCAAGTGGCTGGAGGAGACCAGAGCAGTGCTCCAGCTCTTGGCACATGTGGAGATGTGAGTTGCAGTTAATAGGGACCCTGTGGCATTTGGTCTGTAGACAGATAGCTTTGTAGAGCCCTAGAAACGGAGGACTTAGTTTCCAGGACTCAACACCTCATGTGATTGAGCACCCTCACTGATTTAAGCCGTGAACAAACGTACATCAAAAGGGAGGCACACTGTGAAGGGAAAAAGAGAAGGAAGTGCTATGGCCACGGCAACACCCAGTGTCAGGGACTGTGAAGGTTTCCCAACACTGAGTAATTCCCAGCTCACTGCCTGTTTGCAGAACTAGAACTAGGCATTGTCTTTTTATGCTGTTCCTTGTGCACTTTGGGTTAACAGGTTTGGAAGCCAGTGACTCACAACACTGCAGGGAGGGCTCTGTAAAGCTGAGGCACACCTGATCTGCCTAGGCCAGACAGCTCGTGTCCATATTACGGGCTGTGAGCCTTCGCTCAGGAAAAGGTTGCCTTCATCATGGTGATGCCACCTATCCTAAAATAGCCTAGTAATGCATACTAGGGAAAAGCTATCAGAGCATGTAATGACACTGCATRACATCTGCTTTCCCAGTAGTTTTGCCCAGGAGACGTGCTCTGTGAAGCTCTGTGTGTCTTGCATGCCACGTCCTAAATGGTCTAGATTAACAGATACGGCGTCATAATCCTTGCTTGGCAAGTTGCATGGCAACTTAATGCTTTTGTTGCGGTGGAGAGAGAATTACTGTTATACAAACGCTCCAAGCCACAGAGCAGAAGAGGCAAGTCACCCAGATTAATCAGAGCAGAGGTTGTCTGTTTCACAATTAAGGCACAGTCACTAAGGCACAGAAAGTTTTAACTCCTTGACCACTGGTTGTGCAGGCTGCAGTTTAGCTGGGTCACTGAGAGGATAGATATATATATATTGCTCATGCCACTTCCTTTTGCCTCTTTGTTATTACAGATGGGCCCTATTTGAAGGATTCCGTCAGCATTCAGAGTCTTGCAGTTTCTTCCATTATCACATTGTATTTTACAGACCTGGGTCAGCAGGTCAGTTGGACCACAGTAAGTATGTCCTTGTAACAATCAACCATACATCTTTACGTACAATATGTTTTAGGATCAAATTACTTCAGCTTCCTTGGCCTGGCCWTAGCCATGTCAAATGGTGCAATTACTTTATCAGCAGTCAAAACAGAATTAAATTGATAGTGAGCCAAGTTATCGATGTGCTAACGCAGACACCCAATTAAAGATTAGAAGGTGGACATAACAATATTGCCTGAGGGAAAAATAAATCTTTTTTTTTKAAAGCAATTATAGTTTATCCTGCATTTATATGCCTATGCAGGATCCATTGGCAAATATATTCATTTACTTCATTGCTACTTAGCTTTTAAAATGAAAGGACATGGMAAAGTAAAAAAAAAAAWAWRWAWAWATATWCTAGTAATCCTTTTGCTAAAAGGGAAATTTATTGGATGGAGTCTGACTCCTTTCTTCACCCAAAGGCAGGTCCATGCCTGGCCAGGCTCAGGAGTCACAAACTTTTTAATCTGTCAAACCTATATTGTCAAACAAAAGCTTCTGCTGTGGGTAGTAACGTCTGTATCCTGCTGTGCAAAACTCATGGTGTGGTTTCCCTTTGGACTTTATTTCCTGTAAGCATCTGTTGGAGGTTGGGGTGGCAGAGGAGAGGCAACATTTTTCACGTGAACCAGGCTGGAGGAAGATGAACCTTAAGGGCTCTCCTGTGCCAGATGCCTTGAACTCTTTTWTTCACAGACCAAAGGCAAAAACACAATGGAAAGGCTTGAAAGAAAAGTGAAGAACTGGAACATGAAGAGTGACCTTTCCTGCAGTACACATAGGTGTTAAAGCTCAGAGGGATCTTACTACTGGCCTGAATGAGTGTGTTTGTGTAGTGCACTAGCTTGAATAACAAGAGACAATTGTAAAATTGTATCTAATGCACATATGTACGTTAGACAATGCACATATGCACATATGCACATATGCACATTAGATGCACATATGTACATTAGACAGTGGGATTAGTGATCTCTGTAGTGAGAAACATGAGTAAGAAGTACACAGTTTGGAAAGCCATAAAAGTCACAATATAATTATTCATAGCAATTAAAAACAATAGTTGCTTACAATTGTTTTTAATGACGCAAATTAATATTTTTTAGCTGTTGTCATGGCTCCGAGACAAATTAATAGACTGTTACTAATGACAGCTCATAGATCCCCCCTTGCTCACTTGGAGCCACCTAGTGCCAACTCTTCAAGCAGTTTACAACTAATACACCAAATCCTTTCACTAGTGGGATGCAGCAGCTTCCGCCAGCCTCCTCTGCAAACCTGTTTCCAAGCAGAGGGAGCAAAGCACTGATTGACTTTTCTCTGGTCTGATAATCTAGTCCTCTGATACGCAGACAGCTCAGACTCCTGTGCAGCGCAAGCACAGGGCTCGTGCACAAGGAAAGATCATCTTGCTGTCCTTTCCTGTACAGTGCTGCTAAGAAAAGAAGAAATCTCTTTGCTCAGAGGATAGCGACAAAGTGCTTTGTAGATCYTTATCTCCATTGCTGAACAGGTAACAGAGCAGAGCATGATCTGATCATCAAACTGTAYAGCAGTCACTGTAGCTTAGCAAGCACTCCCACAAGTCACTTAAAGAGTGTCCATGGTATTCAACAGCTTTTTATCAACTAATCAGTGCATTTATGGTGGATGTTCCAACTAGTTTGGGGAACTACAGGCCTGTCAGCCTGACCTTGTTATCGGGCAAAGTTATGGAGTCGGATCATCTTGAGGGTGATCACACAACATGTTTGCAACAACCAGGGGATCAGGTTCATGAAAGGAAAACCCTGCGCGACCAACTTCATCTCCYCCTGTGACCAAGTGATCCGCCTAATGGATGAGGAAAAGGCTGTTGACATAGTCTCCTTAGACTTTAGTAAGGCCTTTGATGAAGTCTCCCATCGCCTTCTCCTGGAGAAACTGGCATCTCATGGCTTAAACAGGTGTCCTCTTCCCTTGATGAAGAACTGGCTGGATGGTTGGACCCAGAGAGTGCTGGTGAATGGAGTTAAATCCAGCTGGCGAGCAGTCCCCGGGGGTCAGTGTTGGAGCAGGTCCTCTTCAATACCTTTATTGATGATCTGGATGAGGGATCTGAGTACACCTACAGCACATTTGCAGACAACAGCAAGCTGGGTGGAAGAGCTGATCTACTTGAGGGTAGCAGGACCCTCAAGAGGGATCTGAACAGGCTGGATCAATGGGTTGAGGCCATCTGTGGAGTGGTCTCAAGTGCTGGATCTTACACTTTGGTCACAGCAACCTCATTCAGCACTACAGGTGTGGTAGGAAAGAATCTGGGGGTGTTGGTTGACCGCGGGCTGAACATGAGGCAGCAATGTGGCCAGGTGCCCGAGAAGGCCAACGACATCCTGGCTTGTATCAGGARCAGTGTAGCCAAGAGGACTAGGGAAGTGATTTCTCCCCCTGTACTTGATGCTGTTGAGGCTGCACCTTAAAGACTGTTCAGTTTTGGGCCCCTCATTACAAGAAAGACATTGAGGTGCTGGAGCGTGTCCAAAGATGGGCAATGAAACTGGTGAAGGGGCTGGAGCACCTTATGAGGAGCAACTGAASGAGGTGGGATTATTTAGTCCTTCCTGAAAGGACTGGGAGGCAAGGATACATCTATCTCTTCTCTGAAATAATTGAAGGGGAAATGGTCTCAAGTTGTGCCAGGGGATGTTCAGGYTAGACATCAGGAAGAATTTCTACRTGGGAAGAGTGGTGAAGTGGGAACAGGCCGCCCGAGGAAGTGGTGGAGTCGCCATCCRTGGCTGTGTTCAAGAAACTTGGAGATGAGGCACTTAGGCGCATGTTCTAGCATGCATGGTGGTGGTGGTGGGTTTTTSGTTGGACTCATTTGATGGTCCTTTCCAACCATAATGAATCTGTGATTTCATGATAACTAGAAGCTGTCCACGCCTTGGGAAATRGCAGGTTCTGGACCAGTGCTATCTAGGTGATAGTGATCTATCTACCTATCCAGCTCCAGGTCTCATGCATTTCTCAGGCTCCAGGCTGCCCCTAACAGCACAGATATTTACCCTTAYGAACAAAAAGACAACCGTTGTCTGATGTCCCTTTTTATTCCTAAGTCTAAGGTTGTGTTTTTATTCATAAAGCTGAGGCCAAGATGTGTCAGGTTACCAAGGTTGAGCTTTTGCTGCCCAGATTTCCATAGGGCCATACTGGTTAATGCTAGTTGGTGTCATGTTTCCCTCCCAACTCCTCCCACCACCTCTACTGCATTTTAACATTATCCTTGAAGAACAAGTGGGCATTTTCCTGAAGCGCAGGAAGTGTGAGTAATGCTGCCTCATGTATGCTACAGCTAAGGAATCTGCAAGAGCCTTAATTATTCTCTCCTTTCATGAAGGTTTTCGTAGCCAAAGACAGTAACATAACAAAAGCTTAATAACCCATTATAAATAGCACAGTTGTGACTAGACATTGATAATGCAGGTGGTGGCATTTTTAATGATTTAATCTGTGTTGGCTCCATGAGTTTCTGCATATTTGCCTTATCCCGTTCTCTTATATATCCTAAATTATCTCAGCTCTCAGAGACAGAAATATTTTTCTTAACCGTGCCATTTAGCTCAAACACTCAGAGATTTTATAGCAAGACTACAGCAATAGAGAAAAAGTGCACGGAAAACTGTATTTAAACAACAGCAATTGAAAATGTACTTTTTCCACAGTATGTACAGTTTTGCTGCTAGTTTTTGTATTTTGTATTGTGTTTAGAGCTCCTGTTCAATATCTCTTGCTACTCTATAAGATTTATGCACGCAGAGAGAGACACTTCTGGTTTAAATGTTTGCCATTTAAATAAACAAGGCACAGGATAAAATTATCCTTATCTCCTGCTAGTAAAATGATAGCTGAAGCATGAAGGGCCAGATGCAGAATGCCGCCTTCAGGTTTGCAGACAAAGGTAGACACAGACGGCCARTGGAGATTTGTTGGTGCTCCAAAGCATGATGCCATGAGCATGGGTCTGACTGGAGGAGAAGTTAAGCACAGAGGTGGATTTTTTTTATTTTTTTTAGGATTAGGGAAGGTGGCACCCATCTCAGGGGGAGTAATATGTTCTCCAGACATGTGGTAAAAGATTGTAAAGGACTGTTGTAAACGCTGTTGCCGGTTCCCCAAGGAACASTTGAGTCTCTAACTCTGGCAGCACATTTTGAGGAAAGGAATCTCAGCATCCCTTTTGGAACCTGCCCAGTCTGTGATTTGTAGAGGAGGACAAAAAGTGGTGAAGAATTTGCAGYTGTGTTCCACTGCAGCTATTAGAAGTCCTTTGCTTTTGACAAYGAGGCCATTTCCTGAGATACAAGTCCAAAAGCAATTGGTTCTGGTAGAAAAATTCAGATTCCCGTGGCTCATCTCCAGAAGGCATTTTAGGGTGAAAAACAGTTTCTTCACATCATGTCTTTTGTTAGATCCTTCTCTATCTTGCCTTCCTTTTTATAAAATATAAAATATGTAAGAAAATATGTATGGAATAATCTAATTCCTGATTTATTGCCTTCCTGACAATAYTTATTGTCAGGAATATGACAATAAATGATTTATTCCTGATTTATTCCTGATTTATTGTCTTCTGTTATACAGAATATTATATCTGAATGGCTGTACAGAATATAGCGAAATTTATATTATATATAAACAAATTATATAGTAAAATTGGTTCAGTCGTTGCTTAGGAAAGAATTACAGTCAAGGTAAGGCTGAGAGTCTGCAGGATACATTGGTGAGGAATGCCAGTAAATGTATTTTTCAATGGATACACATCAGATCTTGCATATTTTGAGTCCAGTTCAACTAGAATTGTGGAACAGGACCATACAAAGTGGATGACTCATGATTATGGAAGTGTGAGTACACCAAAAACAACAGCACGGCCAGAGAAAAAGAACATGTCATTTTGTGTAAATCTGTAAACAGCTTAAGAGTTAGTACAACACAAAGTCCCAAAGAGAAAGAATTCCCCCAAAGTTTCCTCATCTTAAACCACTTAGATTGATAGAGAATTTGATCCTAGAAGATCTCCAGGTAATAAAAACGTCACTATATTCTATACAGTCATTTTTCCACTTAGAATTATTTGTAATGCAGAGCACCTCCTGTTTAYGGATGACAGTTGGCATTTGGCAGAGATTTTTTGCTTGAATACATAATATTACACACAATAAATGTTGCTGGATACCTGGGTGCAGCTAGCCAAGTCCTCAGCTGTTCAGAGTCAAATGCTCTGAACTTTCAAAATATTGTAACCTTTCCCAAAAGCAAACTACACACACAAGATYGGTTTTAATTTTTCAATTCAATCTATTAATTTTCAACCTTCTAGGTTCTCAGAAGAGAACAGTTTGCTCTAGCTAGATTTCTTGACATGGTTTTGTATTGTTTGGGCCCTTCACATACAGGTTGGTTCATCGTTACTATCCAGTGGCCTTATGAAATTAACTGATAAGGAAAGAGGAGCCCTATCTCTTGCTGAAACTGCCCAGCTAGCTCATTGGGATTCTTCAAATGCCGCTTCTAATAGGGCCCAGAAGCCAAAAGCTCAGGATGAAGCATGCCAGCATAGCAGTTCCTCAGGAAACTAAGGGAGGTACCTGAGAGAGGTGCAAGGTGATTTGCTGCTGAGAGTTTATTTGCTGCTGAGCAGCAGAACCTATGGATAAGTCTCCATATGGATAAGTCTTTATATGGATACTCTTGAGCTTTTGTTGCTTCAGGAATTTAGCCAGGCTGAACAGAGCAAGCTGGATTTTTTGTTTTGTGGTGTTTGCAGTTAGATAAAGCCTCATGCCCAAACTGATCCTGCTGCTAAAAGAACAAGAGGCTGTTCCAGGCACGGTGCAGACGAGAGCTGCTTCTGCCCCATCTGTGTTCAGAGGAACTGCACAAGTAGATCACAGAATCAGAGGATGGTTGAGGTTGGAAGGGAGCTCTAGAGATCTAGTCCAACGCCCCCGCTCCAGCAGGGACACCCAGAGCACATTCCACAAGCAGGTTGTGAATATGTCCTAAGAAAGAGAATTTGTGAGTAGTTTCAGTCCTCTCACATGTCTTGGTTTGACTTAGCAAAATTATTATGTGTAGGGAAGTTTTGCCAGCCGTTCTAGGGATAAGGAGAGCGCAAAGAGGTTAGTGAACCAGTATTGGGGAGAGTGAGCTGCTTTGCTTACACTGTGTCGTGACCTTGATAAGTCCCTGAATTTATATCTCAATTTCCTCTTCTGTGGCAAGAAAATAACAGCATTTTCCTCTTTCCCCAAAGTCCCTTGAGGATTCTAGAGGAATAGCACTGTGAAAGAGCTGGCTGGGGTTATTAGTGTTTAAAAGGTGTTTAAAAGATGTTGAAAAGTGCTGTTACATTTAGGTGTCAACGTAGCAGGTGATGGCTACACATTTTAAAATAATGCTCATCATCGGTCAGATTTCAAAATACTATCAAAGCCCTGTAAAGATTTGGCAGCAAATCTGAATCCTCGTTAGTGTTTGGTTACAAAATTTGGTTACAAATTCAGCACTTTGCTGAATATAGATAGACAGACACATACACACATATACGTATATATACACACACATAAATCCATATACAAACACATACACAAAAGTGCATGCAGATTGAAAGAAAAGTGTTTGTAATTATCAGCAATTTTCCTTTTTGGGCAAGGAATATGCAAAGGCAGCTGCTCTCAAAGAAGAATCTTACACAGAGGATGAAGGTCAGACAGCTTTCAGACAGCTCAGTCTTAGGAACCAAGATTATTGAACCAAGAACCAAAGTTTTATTAAGGGTTTGGGGTCAGATGAAAATACAAAAAAAAAAATTAAAGGTGACAATTAAAGATGATGCTAAAGTGTTGCAGTTATCCCCATCTAACTGTGGGGCCTTTAATGAGGCACTAAAGCATATGAAGCAGTAATTGGTTCACAAATTAATAATGTTTGTTAATGAACATTGTCTAAAAACACTTAGGGTTGGGCTTGAAAAAGGAGCCTAAGGGAATTAGATGCTAAATTTAACGTGATTTGAGGATTTGGGGCAATTTGGATTTCTCGATCTCCTGCATTTCTCTGAAATTGTGGCTACTTTCTGTATACTTGTTTATGATAATGGTCAGTCTGTCTGTCTGCAAAGAGCAGATTCTCCTTCTTAGGCAGTTCACAGCATCTCTTTTGACCCCGACTCAGACCTGTAACTAGTGTGTTTCTTCATATTTATCCAAGAAACGAAGCTCAGTCTCTTGGGCTATTTATATCCTGAAGCTGTTTTTCCATCAAGCAGTTACCCAGGCTTGGCGTAAGCCATTTCATGTCTGTGTGTGTGCTGAGTGCCGCAGGCAGTGGCCCAGAGCTGTTGTGCCAGCCTCAAGTACCCTCCCAAAGCACCCGCTCCTTTCTAGGCTCAGCTCACACACCCTCTTGGCACTCGGAAGTGCCACGTCTAGCACGGACGAACCAGGAAAACGACCCCACATGGCATGGAAAGAGCTGCGGGAAGGGACCAGCACGGAAAAGGGAGCATGGCCTTTCCTCAGCTCCATTCTGCAGCGTGTCACCCATGTGATAGCGTGAGGCCGCGCCAAAAGGCAGCGGGACACAAGCTGGGAGGTGCTGTGCCGAGCTGCGGGAGGGTCACGGCGTAGGCGTCACTGAGGTGAATTAGCCGATGCCCTTGTGCAAACATTGCTAATCTGTATTTTTTAAAAGGTCTTGGGAATATTTTTTGAGACTCCCCCCGAATTTTTCGTTTCCTTTTGTCCTTTTCTACCTTCGCCCACCCAGTCCACACAGTGCTATTAATTCCCATTAGAAATCTTTGCATTTCTTTGGGATGGCGTCAGAGGCTAGTGCAACTTTCACCATAAGCCAGAAAATCCACCTCACATTCCCACTGTGTTACAAAAACCAAATAACTTTAAAGATTTCCTTCACCTCTCATGCATTCAAGTCTTTTTAAATAGACTCTCTGTCTGCTGAGATCTGGGATTATAATCCATGACGTGGCTGTTACTCAGTGAGGTCCTATTGGCACAGTAATCGGAAAGTCAGTACCTAAAAAATATAGTCCAATATAGTTCATGCAGGATGAAATGCCGTGCTGTTTTAGGAATTTATATCTCCTACACTACGTTTTATTTATTTATTTGCTTTCATTTAATTTCAGTTCAATAATAAAAATGTTGGAGGCTCATATGTTAGTTTTCTTTCAAGGTATTTCAGATTCCTGCATTATTGGTTATTTAACAGATGCTTTTAGCTTATAATTAAGTATTCTCCTATAGGACACAATCTTTGTTTTTGTTATGGACTACCATATTTTGCTACACCAAATATATGTGTAAATATGTGAAATCAGCTGGAGTGAGGCATGAAAAGGGTGCAGTAGCCACGAGTTGGTGCCAAGTCCTGCCAGTCTTTCCCTGGCAGCTGTGTAATACATTCATGCCAAGCAGAGGATAAAAGCTGGCAGTTTTTAGGGGTGTATTTTGTGACACAAGTCTTTGCTGAGAAAAAAAGGCTGCTCTGGGGATCCAGAATGGCATCTTGGGATGAAGAGTAGTAATGGTGCATAGAAGCCACGATGTCTCTTCTGGGGACTGAGTTCTGCTCTTACAGACAGATTTCTGAAGCCCTTAGCCCCAACATAAGGGAAGAAATGGTGCTGGAGGACCCAGCCAAGGAAACCTAATGGCCAGGGTTTCYGCAGAAAAATCTCTGGGTCACTTGAAGTTCTTCTGAAGAGCTCTTGGAGGAACACTGCATCATGGGTCTAGGTGTCCGCCACATACTACTTTTGGAAAAGGTAGTCTGGATTAAATGCTACTGCTCAAAGAACAGATGCTTTATTCATTACAGTTCTAGCAAATAGCCACTAGTTACGAATCTTTATCCCTTAAGCAGTGTTATACATTGAGTTATGATTTGCCCATTGCTGTTTCTGGTAAACATGGTGGATTACACCATTTTAATCCATGATTTCATTCCGGAAACATCCAGGCGACAGATAATCAAATCCAGAACTCATATCCTTGCAAACACATTATACTTCCTCCGGCTGTTCAGTTCTTTGAAGTGCACATCAGTAAAGATATATAGCTTCCCATGGGGGTGTCTGCAGTGCCGTGATCTGCCTGGACAAAAGCTGGCTGTGCAAAATCAACGCCAGAGCATCAAACTGAGGGCGACTCTTGCGGCCCTGGGGCTGCCCTTTCTCTCCTTTGTGCCCATCGCTGCATGGAGGCCACTGCACCCCAGTGTAATAATGTCTCAAATAAAGCTGAAATGACAGTTGAAGGAAGAATATGTGTTGCATAGATAACCTGTTCTTTTTCTCACGCCTTTTTTGGTACAATGCCATATCCTCACGCGGCTGTTTTCTTTTTCAATTCTAGTTTTTCCTCACAGAATACTCTGGACCTCTGCTAATATACCTGCTCTTCTACGTTCGCCTCTCAACTATTTATGATCAAGTGGAAAGCATGAAGAGTTTCCGCCACCCAGTGGTTCAGTAAGTGACATGCATCAACCTGACCAAAAATAGGGTGACACTTGCAATGGTCACTGCATCCCATCACCATGGCGTGCAGTGCTTGCTGGAAGCAGTGTGCACTCCAGGCATGCTGAACCAAAGGTGAACTGCTAAACAGAAGCACTGGTGTGCTTGGCAGAGAAGAGAGAACCCCTCAGGTAGGATGCAGTAAGAGCTGACCCCAAGGAAACTGTGAATGAGAACCCAAAACTGCCAAACACAGAGCTGCCACATTCTTGCCTTCCTCCTCTTGCTCGTACACTTAAAAGGAGAGTGTTTTAGCAGCACAAAAGACCAAGAGTACCTTTGCCTTCTTTCAAGTGCGCAAGGAACATGCAGAAGCCTTCCAGTGATCCCTCGCAAAGGGTTCATTTGATATCCTCATCCTAAGCTGAATTAAATTTACAATTCCCAGCAAAGCTAAAAGTTTGCTCTGGCCTTTGCTTAGGTCATTAATTATTTGAAATTTTCTTAGCTCAAATCTCTCTGGTTTAATTACTTTGAAATCGTTTGACTCTGACTACCATACAAGATGCTTAATAGAAGTACTTGAAATCTCACATGCTGAAAAGCACTTTTCATTTAGGTCTTATAATTGGCTCACAGTAGAACGGACTTAGGTAGTATGGCAAATGTAACCAAGATAACACGCCACCAGGAATCACTCTTGACATTTGTTTGAGAAATTCAGTCTTTATGAACTTCAGGTCATTCTCTGAAGCAAATCAGTAGCATTTATTATTGTTTTATAATCTTCCTCAAAGGAGATTCAGTACAATAATTTCTAGAACAATTACCATATTCCTTTGTAATTAGGTACAAAAAAAAAAAAAAAAAAGCCATCACAATGGATTAACTTCACAACAAAATCCCATTTTAATCCCACTAGGTAATGAAATACAAACTGCCTCTGTGCAGCTACTTGAGCTTGCAAAGGAAAGCATTCAGAAGCTATTCAGCAAATGTTAGGTGCATCCTACAGGAGCGTTAAAGGAGCCTTAAAGCACGTGAGGCATCTTGCGGAAGAGCATGGCAGACGCTCGCTGGTGTACACAAGTTTTAATGTCCTGTCAGGGCCATGTATCACACGCAGAGCCCGAGGAGCCTTTTTAATTCAACACTAGTAAAAAGAAGTTGCTTCCCTGTAAAATGGAAGCAACGTGGTGTAACACTGAAAATGATTCCATTAATCTTTGGCTCCAGATGCTTCAGCTAAGACAAAACCTTAAATTCTAAGATTTCAGTACTACTTTGCAGTTTTGAGGGATTAGACCTTATTCTTTTTGTGACAATAAACTGCAAAGAAATAAAAAACAATATTTCATTTCTCTTCATTTCCTTTCTACAGCTTGGCTTGCTTCTGCCATTGTTTACACTACACGAGACATCTTCTGGAGACATTATTTGTTCACAAGTTTTCTGGAGGACACACTCCTCTGAAAAATATGATAAAGGTAACAAGGTATTGATYGTTTTATGTAGGCAGAGAAGATCCTCATATTAAGGCAGTTCTTTGAAGAAGATAAGAAAATTAAAACTACTTTCCAGGGGAAGCAATTAAGATTAATGAAAATGTAACTGTWGAAAAAATCTCAGAGCCATGTACCAAAGGACGTGAATAGGAATCAATGTCCATTTTGATTGCTGCATATCAGTGTTCACTTGATTTATCTATCCAATGAATGGTTCATCATGTCCACGTTATTTTTCAGACTGATTACTATTTTTTTATGAGATATGCTGCTGCAAAAACTAGAAGTGATTACAGAAATCACACTCTACTTCCTTGGTGCAATAAAAATGTGAAGTAAGTGACACCCCTTGCATTAGGAATTTAAATTACAAACAGAGGAAAAAAATATTTTCATTCTACATTGGAGGCCTCAGGGAGGAAGATACTGAGCTGCTTAAAGTTATCTGACTCTTTCATAGACCTGTTGAATTTCACCTATTTGTTGTTATCTCATAGGCTGTCCTCCTTCTTGTTTAGATCCTTATTCAGTATGAAGTAGAGATCCTCCCTTTTAAAGATTTGGAATTTTCCTTTTTATATTTACAGTTTAGATTTTATAAAACCTTTTTACCTTATTTTTTTCTTTAACTCAAGGAGCCACGGTTCATCAATGATCATCCATTATTGTGACAAGAATATATATACACATAKGTATAAATTTACAGTTYGTAGTTTCTTATGGCCCATCCCARTAAAAGTAATATCTTTTGTGACCATTGCAGGGCTGTGCCTTCTACTGGGGATTCACTTCCTGGATTGCATACTACATTAACCACCCACGGTACACACCACCATGTATGTATACGTAGGAATGATTTTGATTTTAAAAGGCTTTTGTTATTCARCAAGTTCTCCGAAATCAATAGAGGTTTTCACGTAGACATCAAATCATATGACTAACCTGCCTAGAGATAAGGTTGATAGAAGGAAGAGTATGTTGAGGGTGGCCATATATTCAGTATTTATTACTGAATATATGTCCCTGTTGAGCTGTGGTTCTGTGCTCTGCAGTTGCACAAACAGCAGATATCGGCTGAGCAGCGGGAACAGAAAGATCAATGTATTTTGCTCGTCTTCACTAAAGCTAGCTCTGTTCTCTTGGAGGAGATATGTTTATTTGCAAAATAATGGCCTTTTTTTATGAATTTTGCAAAAGTACATTAGACATTGTTGAAAAATGAAAGAAAATCTTATTTTTTACTTTTAGATTTTACTCATCATTTTGTGTCTTTTCATTGTATTCTTTTGCTATAGTCTTGCTTTCTGATTTTTTTCTTGCCTTCTCTTTGAACTTTTATTTGATCATAATTGTCATAACTTGTTTTTCTTTCTACCTTTTTAGGGTGGCATTTTATCACTGCCTTTGTCTTCCTTTTCCTCTGCRGCTGATACATATCTATGAGCTTTGGGCATTTGCCTTTGATTTGCCTTGTCAGTTTTAATTATACATCTTTATACTCACAGTGAAGTATCTCATTTTTTTCAGTCCATAAACTCTCTCACGTGGCATTTGCTTCCATTTCAAAATAATAGAAAAATTCACTTTAAGAATTATGTTATTCATTGCAAGACATTTGWTTTTGGTGTAACTTTAAAAATAGTGCTGCAAACAAGGTGGAAATCTGCGACAGAGCTCTTCTTAACCATCAGATCAGTAGGTGCGAATTCTTTCCTTATTTATAGGGAAAAATATTCGCTCAAGATGCAGTCTGAAGCCGGAAACCATATTTACTTTTTAATAGGGAAAAGCCTTCAGAAGAAACACATCTAATTCCTTGCCACTGCTGTAAGATSACATTTGTAGATAAATGAAGCAAAGCCCTCTGCTGTAGTTCCATGGATCAGTAAAACCCAAACAATTTATTTTGGATGGAGCTAGCAGGGCCTATCCATAACACGAGCCTGAAGTGGAAAGCACGTTGTTCTGCCACTGACCCCCTCTCATCCCTCTCTTTGCCTTTCCAAGAAATACGGCAACGCCGACTGCTTCCACAAAGCACTTAGAGATGCGAGGCTGACAAATTTGAGACAGAAAAAGTTAGCCAAAAACTGCCTTGAAATCAGTGGTGGGGCTGCTGGCATTTGCTGGAGTGCTGCTACTGTTTGCCTTGTCCTGTGTGAGGATACTCATTCCTTCTGCAAAGCCTGACAAGAAAGACGTGTTTCTGCTCCTCAGCACCAGATTGATTTCGCCCATAGCAAATGGTGTGCACACTATAAAATGTAATTTATAATTTCCTGTTTTCTAGCATTTGGCCACAGACAAGTTTCTTTTGCTGCCCTTGCCTTTCTGGTACGTACGAAAATAAAGTGTTATTAATGATTGTGGATTAAAGAACAGCTCCTGATTTAGCAAAATGCAATAGTGCTGCTATGCAAGTGTATAGATATATGCCCATTCCTGCAGTCCTGTGTCATTTGATTGGATATAGTGATTCAGTTAAGGTTTGGGGAATTCTACTAGTATTATTTGTCTGTACACAGCTTAGTGTACTGATGGTGTGTGTGCTGTGCCTGAGCACCATGAGAACATCTTTGGAGCATATTTTTACTGCTCATAATCATGCAGAACATTACTATTTAGACAGCTGCAAACCTGCAATTTCTAAAACACTAAAGAATTAGATACTAATCAGATTTTCAGTGGAATTATGTTCCCTAATAAATGCATTTCTACCCTTGGCAGCTATTAACAATAASAATAAAAACAAAACCCTGCTAAAATGGGTGAAGCCAAGGAAAAGCAGATAGCATTTGTTTATCAGCCTTATGTTCAAACTTTACTTTATGTAGCTAAACTTATAGATACCGCTTTTCCAGTGCTGTGATGGAACTTCATCAAATCAAAAGGAGGAGGCTCTACATGGGACCACAAAGAGCWGAGGGCACCCCTGGCTTTCATACACTGTAACAGGCGTCCCACGAGGCGCCAAAGCTCTGAATTACAGCATTTTGGTCTCATCTGTTTGCAAAGCAGTGGACACTTGGGATGGCTTTAAAAGACTAATGTGTCCTGAGCAGGTTTTTGGTAAAAAATAATTCACACGGATCATTTTGGAGAATTTTCCTCCATAGCTTGTATGTTCAGGCCAGGACAGCAACGTCTAGGCATCTCCAGGCAAACGCTGTTTTGAAAAGCACTCCAGCAAGTCCTTAGCCATATTTCAGTATTTTTGTACATAAAGATTCTTCAGAAATCACCAGGAGAACTGGGTGCCTGCGTATTTTTGCTTCGGAAAAGCCACCCTTTTCTAGTGATGCACACGTGCTCACCTCAGTGGACAACCTCTGCTCCAGCTTTTTGTAGAAAAGCTGCCGTCAAGCTAAAGATGTGGAGTGTTTTCTGTGAAATGAGGCAATCCTTATCCTACCTGCAGCAGCAAGTGGTCCGTGGCCTGAATTCTCCCAGATCTTTGGAGAACTTTATACCTGTATACTCTTCCCATTCAGACCTTGTTGTTGCAGGTTGCCAGACACTGAATTTTAAACAGCAACACACCCAATATGATTTGAAGTTGTTTTTTATAGGGTTCTAAAACAGAAATTAAATATTCAGAAGATCCTTTTTTTTTCCTTGCTTTTTAAGTCTTGTCTTCGCCACCCATTCCTGATTTATGGTTTATACATATATATTTGCTGTAAGCAGCAGTAATGAGTAATTTGTGCAGCAATGAGTAATTTGTGCAATCTTTTGAAAGATTGTCATCACCAGAAAAATTACCTGAAGCTTGCCAGGGACCTTTTTCCTATAGGGTACACGTGGAATAGAGAGTATGGTGCGTAGACTTCATTATTTCAGCATTACAGATAGCACAAGTTCCCGTTTTTCCACAGCCCCTTATTTCTGCTTTCTGAAACCCTTGACTACAGAATGAGCTTACTTTCCTAAAGCGACATTAGCCACATTTCTAAATAAATGTGGATCTTCACACCCCAAAAACAACCTGCAGAAATGCCCATTGCTTGTTCTACTTGTGACTGATATAGAAATATTACATGTTAACTGCAGTATATGAACCTATTTTGGCCCCCASTGGTGTGTGCATGGCACATTTGAATTGGTATAATATTTCATTGAAACATTTTTTAATTTGAAGTCTTTTTCTTTAAAATTGGGGTGAAAAGAAATAACAATGCTGCTAACTCAAACTAAAATATATGTRCATTAAAATTACTGCTAATGCTTTGGCCAGAGTGACAGTTTCTGGTAGGATATTCTATAATAGAATTTCTTCATTTGCTTATTTAATTTTTTACATCTGTTGTTTAGGATAGATGACAGTCGGTTAGTTGTAATTAAAAAAGAATAAAAGGACTGTAGGATTTGACCTGTAACTACATATTCATGCAGAATATCAGCTTTGCTAATAAAACTGATTTAAACTGTACTAAAACCCTTCCTCCCCCACCAAAAAAGCCACATAGAAAGCTCACTGACAAAAAAAGAGAAAAGGAGAAAATCTGCAGCAATGTTTTCAACAATTTTCTTTCCAATAATGGTACATTTCAATAAAAAACGAGGTTACAAATTCCTTTTAAATTTTAATTTTAATTGAAGTTTGTTATGGTTGACTTTTGGAAAATTAGCATTCAAAAAAGGGGAATTGTACTTCCCATTTTTTGCTATTTTTTTAACTTTTACTCTCCCTGATTTTTATCATTATTCTTTTTTTATTCTGATTTCTTAATCCTTCCAGCTTTTCAGAATGTTCAAATGATAAACTGAATGAGAAAACAATTTTCAATACTGCATTTTTTTTCATTCTGAGGGGAGAAATCAAGTCCTCAAACACAGAAATGAGTAAAACTCTGAAACTGAAATGTATACTGCATTTTGATCTTCATCATAAAAAAGAAGCTGAAAAATGAAAACTATAAAACTAGATTGCTATACTGATCAGCTTCCTTTCTCAGGACTAGAAACTGGTTTTCCAGCCTGCTGCAACCTTAAAATATGGGGAATGTTTTGCTTTTGATTTCAATAGTTGCAATCAATAGTGAAAGCTATAGATAGATGAATAAACTGGTGCTCAGCTTTTCCCCTGTGTGTTTGTAGGTTTGAGTAAATGTGAATGCTGATGTTTTGCAGATGTGTGAAGCTGGAAATCACTTCATCAATGTAGCTTTAGCGCAACAAAATCATTCAGGTTTGTCTTTGCTCTTTCTCTGTTTAAGACTGAAGTGTGCTTAGCCTACATCTTTTGCTGATGTGAAGCAATTTATATGTCTGCATCCACAGAATAAAGATGAAATAGATATTATGTCATCAGTAAGAAACATTAGTGACACTCTGTTTCCAAAACTTGCAGCAAATTTATCTTAATTATAAACAGCTGCATTTTAAACAGGCATTTGAGCATAGGAGTTTCCGTATCGATTGACATCAAAGGATTCAATTTTAAATAAGTTTCAAATGTTTTAAGCTAATTTGCATGGTTTTGAGATACATGAGATACACCTGAAGCACTAGTGTACACACATATGTACAAATACTTAAACATAAACTCATGAATATCTACACAGACATCTAAGTGTGCATGTGTATGCTTTCAAAGACTGTGCCCAATGTGAATTCTTCAGCATATTTTATACCTTGAGAATCACAGTTACACCATATACACAAGAAAGTAAAATAAATTTTCAGATTTATTGCAATAATACGTGTTATTTCCCTTTACAACACCCTATTCAAGAAAATACTTCATCATGGTATCATCAGCTTTAGACAGGGAAGCAAGTTGCTATTCAGAAAGCATTTCGTGTACTGTGCTTAGCTTCCTTGTCACAATGGGTCTAATGTTTAAAGCAGCAATAGACAAATACATTTATTAACATGCTCAGTGTCTGTAAGTGTTAAACACAGGATTGTTGCCAAAACCTGAAAAACAAATGTTGCCTGTGTCACCTTCTGTAGGAGTATGATCAGAGATCAAGCTGTGTCCCCTGCCTGGCTTAATAAAACCATGGTTTTGTGTGTTTTCTGTTCTCTTTCATAAAGGAAGTAAACCCTGCTTTCCAAGTCCTACCTATAACCCTTTCACATGGCTCTTCCTGCTYGTATCCTGTCCGAACTATACGTACGAGGTATGTAATTTTCTGGGAATCATGTGCAGATTCCCAGAATCTCCATATTTCCAGGTCACTCCACACATCAGGCTACCTTTGCTATTTCAAAGCCTCCTTGTTCCCACCAGTACCTACAGGCTCCTCACTGATCCAAGCACTTTCCACCTATTTCTTCACCCTTTACGGAACTGTGTTGTCTCTTTCTAGCTAYATTTTCCCTCTCCCTTTTCCCACGTGGCTTCTTCCTACAGTGGAGCTTTGACTACAATTAATATTGCTTTTTTTCCTTTGCAACAGGTTGGGTCCTGGATTAGTTTCACAGTGATGACACAAACACTGCCAGGTGAGTTTGAAACTAAGTTGTTTGTGGAATTTGCCCCACATTTACAACATAGGAAATCTTGCTGTCTCGTTAGAGAGCTGCCAAGAGCACTTCTTTTGATCAAGACTGCTAGTTGTTAAATACCCTTGTTTCTTCAGTTTTCACAGTGTAATCAGAGTTTGAAATCTAATAAAAATGTATTTCCACATATAATTGATCATTTCTGATACAGGGAATTTTCATTGTAAACCTGGAAGACTACTTGTGAAGAGATAAGGAAAACAGATATGCTGAGTACTTGTGATGAGTAATGACACAGACAGGTTTCTGAGGGCATTTCCACTGTTGCATGTATCAGGAATCCACAACAACTGCCTGCCTAGTAGGGTTTGCAAATCTTACTTAAGATTTGCTTGCTTGCTTGCCACATAACCTGCATCTGTAGGGACCTAAATGTTCCTGCAAATGGGTCCCATGCGACTAACCTCAGCAAAACATTAGCTTTTTAAATATTTCCACATTAAAAAAAGGGAAACAAAAAGTTGTCCAAATGCTTTACAAGTGGGAGAAGGCAGGAATTTCAAATCTGGAGTCAAATACATTGTAAGAAGGAAAAAAAAAAAAGAGGGAGAGGATTTTGGGGCTTTTTGTTCTTTGGGGCCTGAAAGTTTGTTGTTGCAGGACTGTAGTACAGAAGCAGACAGCAACAACAGTAAGCTATTCTTGATGTGATTGCCTCAACCTACAGCTTGTCCAGACAGCAAATTAATGTTTCTGACCCCTCAGCACATAGTAAAGAAGAAACTGAAATGAATTTGCAGAATTTTCATAAGGACAGACAAAGAAAACAAATGTTCCTTTTTTTTGTTTGTTTTCTTTTCTTTTTTTATCAGTTGGCATTTTTGCTTTCCTGATGGTCATCCAGATGTGCCTGTGGGCCAGGAAGAAACACAAGCTCTATCTGAAGAGGTTTTATCCAGAGGTACGCAGAAAAGCGGCTATGATTCCTATCATCTTCTGAGYTCTTCACAAGACTTGGAGCCTGAATGTGTTGTTCAGTAACTGACTCTGAACATAAATGAGCCATTTTGTTCACTAATCAAAAGAAAGAGCGACTGGGTATCTTTTTCAGAAAATTAACAGATGAAAACAAAGAGCTTTTAATTAAGTGAAAAGAATATGGCTCTTGAATTCCTGTTTCCTGCTAAAAGATATGATTAAATTAGATTTTGTGTAATGGAGTTAACTAGGAAAGAACAAGAAAATTATTGCTGTTGAATGTTAGGATATTTAGCTACTGTAAATAAATACAGATTCTCTTAAAACTAACAGAGTACAGCTCACCTGCATGCGTTCAGGTCTTTTAAGGTGATTTTAAGGTTCAATGTTAGATGGTGCCTGGATACTAAATTCATTGCCTTTTGCAACAGATGTTTCGCAGCCTTATTTTTATTAAGCTGCACAGAAACAGCATGTTCTGCTTCAGCTCCTCTAAAGCATTACATCAAAGAACGACCGGTGTGCTRTTAATATAGTTCGGTACAGCTTTACAAGGTTTTTCTTTATTTCTTTTATAATTGAACCTGATAGCAAATTGTTCAATACAAATTGKCTTAAAGTGATCATCACAGAGAGGTCTGGTTTCTTTTACTTTCAAGGAGGCAGATCAGCCTCATCCTTGCAGGAGAGGCCCCTGTGTGAGGTGATTCCTGTCTTGCTGTTAATTTGCTAGGTGGCTTTGGATACATCATTTCCACCCAAAAAGAGCCCTCCACCCCCCATTTCCACACTGAACAGTTCTGCAAGCAGCAGAAGCCTTTCTGCAGCAAGCAGCATATTACGATCCTCAAGTTCAGTGCCCTGCCACACCTGGGCATTAATTGTGTCATCCCCTTGTTTAGAGGTTGCTCTCAGTGCTCTCGTTCATCTTTTATTGACAAAAACACTTTTCAGTCTCTGTCTGGATATTGCTGAGCAGCTTCTGCTCCCACTCCATTTGATCACTCATTGCTCTGGGCCRTTTTGCCAACAGAAATGGCACTATTATTTTAAGGTAGCTGTTTGTATTTCTTTCCAGAATTGTTTTTGCAAGTATTAATGCCTTSAGACCTGTATTTTAAGTCCAGTTTTCATTCTATGTCCATTGCATGTCTCTTCTCTCCCTTAGGCCAGCAAAAAAGCTTGCCCAAACAGCTTCAATCATTGGAGAAATAACCAAAGCAGAGAAGCAGGGCAGGTCTGGTCTGTTAAAGGCACTGTAATGATAGCACCACTCAAATGCTCTACTAAAGCTCATTTGCCCAATAAATTGGATTCATATCCCTTTTGACCGATCACGAGTGGTGTTCCCCAGGGGAACTAACATGTTGGGGACAGTCCTCTTTAATGTCTTTCTTTATCAACTATCTCAATGAGGAGATAAAGTGCACCCTCAGCAGGTTTGCAGATAGCAGCAAGCTGGGAGGAAGAGTTGATCTGTGTACATTTTGTATAATGGCAACAGTTGTAAAATCAGCAKTAGAGCAAACACTGGGTAAAGTTTTACAGCAGCCTCTGCAATAAATATGGCAGATATTTTAGGTTTCAGAGATACAGTGTGGAATAGCTGGAATTGCTCTGAAGTGTGTTAAATGGCTTTGCACATAGTGAATCCAACTGACTGCATCCACAGATCCCTCCATATACCTCTACCTTCCCTGATTTCCAGGGCAAGGACTATATGACGAGAATAGATCATCCATCTTCCTGGAAGGGGAGGACAAGTTTCACTTTCAAACATAAAGTATATTAAAATTGTCAGTTCTTGCTTGGATAAGTGTTTTAGGGACTTTGCTCTTGGAAGCCAGAGAAATCCCACTCTAAGATTGATATCACTGTATAAAAAGTTGATGATTTTAACTTCCTGATGGTTTTAACCCCAAGAACAAATACCTTTTGAAACRAACCCCAGTTTATTCACATAGACATTTTGATGGGAGAGTTTGTCATGACTCTCCCAAGTTTTTCACAGCCCTCAGCAAAAGGCAGGGTAGGGTCGCACRGCTACCAGATATCGTCACATTTTGGGGTCAGCAGGAAGCAGCCAACGCGTGACATGACCCAGCGTGTACAACCCGGCCCCCCTTTTGGCCACCCCACCATGGGGTCACCTCCCGAGCGTGGCTGAGGACCTCAGCATCGTGTACGGGGCATGAGGACTGCCCTGGCGCTGCCCCCAGCACAGCCTCTTGCTCCTGAGCTGTTGGGGAGCTGCTGCTCAGCCGAGACCGTATCCCAAACCTCTGGCCTCCCTGCTTGCATCCAGGAGCCTCTGTGCTGGACCTGCAGCTTGCCGCTGTGCTCCTGCTCTCATCCTCCACACGGGTAAGTCTCTCCTTTCCCAAAGACCAAGCCCAAGACTTGCAAATACAGGAAGCCCRACGCCTGCAGGTGCTCCAGGTGTTGGGAGAGTGAAGCAGACACTGGCAGATGCTGATGCGCACAACTTCACAGCCTACCTTTGGACACACAGTTAAGAGAACGCTTAAGACTCAGCCCTGTGCATGTATTATGTGACAGCCACATCTTCTTAGCTGATAGTGAGCACAGGGATTTCATCTTTCCATAGGGAAAGCAGAGCTCGAAAGGACAGTGCAGGTGGAAGCAGTGAATCAAGGCAGATGGTCAACCTCTTTTAAAGTTCCTATTATCCTCAAAATAGCTTGTACTTTCCATTAGTTGGTATAGGGAAGTGACTCTCAATTGGCTTTTGTCACACTACCAAGAGAGATATAGCAGCCTGATGTCAAAGTAGTTTTCTGAAAGAGATATTGCRATGATAGCTAAATAAAATAAAAAGCACAGAATGTGAAGACTTCTAAAATGCACTGTAAGAGGGGGAAAGGTATAGGAAAGCAAGAGACTATTTATCTATTTTAAAGATTTTAATGATTTAAAGATCTATTTTTATTTAAGCCCTGTTTTAACAAGGCCTGCTGAACTAAGAATTAATTCAAAGCACGGAGAATTTTCCAGCAAACCGATATTTTCTACATGATGTTTTATTGGCTTCCCTTTCCTGTACTTTCTTGGGCCCAAGTTYTGTCTTCAAGCGGTATTCCCTGTCATTAGCATTCATGCAGTCTCTCAGAGGAGCTTGCTGGATGCCAGTTCCTGTGTTTCCACGGATAAGCGTAAATGAAGAGCTGTGCTGTCACTGCACTCTAATGAATATCTACACGAGTAACACGTTATTACAAAAAGCCTGGTTTCTCACAGGTGAATACACAAATGCTGCTACATAGCTCCAATTAAAGGCAGTTTTAACATCACATCGTTTCAACATCATAGAAAAGGTTTTATTTTAGAGGTCTCCCTCAAGGTCATTTCTCTCGAGAAAAAAAAAACCCACACTGGATTTCCTTGCCATGTAACAGTGCGCTAAAAATCTTAACATGTCCCAAAATACGGGCATTTGGGCCAAAAAAATCACACTAGTTTTAACATCTCTCAACAACATCTAGTCTTCTTATGCTTATCTCTTTTTATCTTCTAAAGCTTTTGAAGACTGCAGAACCAAGTGGGAAAAATCATTTATAGTAAGAAAGTAATATTGCTCTACCAGTGATTCCTTGCAACCTCCAGGTACTCTGCCATGCTCAATAAGGAAGGCTTTTATTTTAAAATTACACTTCCATGTTGCTGGGACTTGTCCTTCTTCATCAATAGGGAACAGTTCCAGAGAAGAGACCACACCACACATGTTTTCTCAGTTATTCACACAGAAAAGGCGATGAGTTTTCAGTTAACCGGTGAAATGCTATGGAACAAATTTACAAAAGAAACAGAAAAGAGTATTTGTCACRTACAAGAACACTGTTAATTCCAAAATACTATGATGAAGAAGCTACTTGTGCACAGAAACGGGTTTCTGCCCTATTGCCCAACTCCTGTCTCATTATTTTGATGCTTTTTTTAGCTATCAGCTTGTGGAGGGTTATGCTGTATTTGTATGGGTGGAAAGGAGATGTGGTGGACTTGCACAGAGTTATACAGTCATTCCTGGTGACTAAGGAAAGCATGATATTTTATTAGTGTAGCTATTTGTCATCTTTTTATTTCCCCCTCCAGAGAAGGGAATGCTCTTCCTACCAGAGAAGGGGTGGCCAAATTTCCTGCCCTTTTGCACTGCAGTACTAAGTCATCAGGAAACATGATTTTTTTGCAGCAAATGGTCAGAAAATGATTTCCTTTATCCCTTGGCAAGCCATTTATACCAGCACACTACATTTAGACAAGTACAATGAGCGATGGGGGACGTTCTTGCCTACTGCAGGTCAACAGTCTTGAAACTTCAGATGCACATGACTTCCAAAGGGAATATCTGATGAGGCCAAAAGAAATTCCTTGTGCAATTACAGTGCTATGCTGCAATTATATGTGAATAATGCATTATAAAACATGCTGACAAGATCCCCACCTCTAAGTAATCCCTAGAGCAGTCTTTTTTTTTTCATATATCATTGAGCAAATAGAAATAAAATCAAGTCCTTCCGTGCCCACGAATATACAGCTGACATACGCAATCAATAGGCTGTTACAAAAAGAGAAACTGCATGCGTTCTCCTGTTGGAGATAAGGAGAGAGGGAATGTAAAGGGAAGGAAAAAAAAGCTACAGCTCTTTTTTTTCTCTTTTCAGCAGAGAAAATAAAATTGATGCATTGATACCGTGCAAGGAGATGAGCATCTCTAGCAGAGATTAAGGAWGCAAGCAAGGACACCACACAGAAATTTCACGCTGCAGCAGACAGAGGTGTCTAAACTGCTTCCCATATTCCCTGCAATGGTCAGTAAAACGGTCACGTTAAGAGATAAGCTGGAGGGTGGGCAGAGGGTGAAATCAGGCAGGTTGATAGGGAAAATGGACAGAAATGGCTACTGGGGTGAGGGTTTCCCTGCTGCTGTGTGAGGTGTGAGCTGTGGGATGGACACGAAGGTGGAAAACTCCTGAGGGAGCCTGAAKGGAAAGGCCCTATTCCTCTCTTCCTCTTAACTGGGGTATTTCCCCCCGGATTTCACGCAGACCTTCCTCTGCCACACTCAGTGCTTCCCATGTAGAACTTTTCCCAGGACAACTCGTTGGTTCTCGGCACTTTGGTTTCCTGTCCACATTTCAGGCATGTGCTAAAGGGAGATGATTGCTGGCAGGGGCTCACGGCACCAAAGATCTGACCTGGTGTTTCTGTTGCTTATGTGGAGTTTCTAACGAATTTATCAGCAACGTTTTTTTCTCTGTTTCTTCCTTCCCCCGAGGAAATGCTGAGTGCCTTTATTTTGCAGAAAAATCCTCCTCAGCCACAAGGTGTGAGGCCGTCTGTTCTTTGAAAATACTTTGTCTTAGTTCTTTTTTTAACTATTTTTTTTTCTAATTGATATCACTAATTCATCATCCTGCTTGCCTTTCGCACATAGCTGAAATGGTAGTCATTTCAGAACAAGAAATTCATAGTTCAATCCATCCAAAATTGGGGCTGGATTTTTAGTTATTTATTTTTAATTTTTGATTTAAAGAACATGTTGAATATGGCCACCGGGAACCAAAAATGAACAGGTTCCCATTGGGAACCTCTCTGGCTACAACCCTTTTCTGGGACCCAGTCGCACAGAGAGCTTCCTACCCACAAATCCAGCGTCACGTCAGCGTTCACCACTGTCAGCGACAACCAGGGAGAGCCCTTGCATGCGTTTGGTAAGAGACACAGATGGACCATGTGCTTCACAGCAGAAAGCAGATTGCTTTCCTCTGCCAAGAAGACCTTGGGGCCTCTTACATGGCTGGAACTCTCCTGTAACCAAACTCGATGCTTCTGACCCCAAAGAAGTACCAGAAGCATCAGAAAGATGCAGCCAAAGACACCTCTGAGCAAGGATTAGCAGAGATACCAGAGACTCTGTCACCTCAATTGCCATAAATAAAAAGAGATGGACATCAGCAGACCAGCAGCCTGCTGGTGGAAACGCTGGGTTGAAACGCGGTGAAAGGAACAGTTGGTTGTCAGCAATATATCTATTGGGAATTTAAGAGAGAGCAGAAGCCGTATAATCCAAAGGATTTAATGAGAGTGTAGCATGAATCCTGAATAAACGCTCCTTTTGATAAACTCACAAACATGTGGGGGACGCAGCAGTGATTTGCATTCTTCTGGGAGAAGTAACCAAATTAAGGACTTCACGGCCTCAAAGAAACAACATTTGTCTCTCGAGAGTGACCCAGGAGTGCTCATGTTGCTCAGCGTTACGAAATAGGTCGAAAGAGATCGAGCTGGACTGTATAAATACATGGGAGGCAAGCATCAAGGAGCCTTAAGAGCAATTTAAGCTGAAGAACAGTTCGGTCATCAGGACAAGTAAGCGTTGACTGGCATGTATGCATTTTGCCTGGAAATCTGAGGGTGATTTCTGGCCATTAGAGGAGTGATTTCCTGGAAGAGCTTTCCAGAGGGAGTAGCAAGAGTAAAAATAAACAAAAAAGCAACAAAAAGCAAGGAGATTCAACACCAAGGAGATTCAAGGTAGCTGCTGATGCATGCCTGGCTAGGAGATCATGTGTGGCCATTTGCGACAGAAGCAGACAGAACTTATGTGATCCTTTCCTGCCCTGTTTTTTGCCATGTTAGTTTTCACAATAGAATTACAGCTTGCAAAAATTACTAAATTTTGCAGTTTGGTACCTCTTGACAATTTTAAATAAATGCAAGCACGTCCCCTGAGGGCAGGTGATTTCCTGGTGATACAAAGCCTTCAGATTTGGGACAAATCATAATCCTGTAAAGTATGAGAATATACGTACCACGGGGGTAGTAACCTATTACAAGCYACACTATTCACACAAACCAAGTCAAATTTCTTCATAACAAGAAGTAACCTCCGTAAGATCCTGAACAGAAATATGAAGCAGAAGGGATAGTCCTTTAATTTTTAATGAACTCCTGCATCTCCTCAGCCGTGTCATCTATCAAGCCTGGCCATAAAAGCGACAATTTTATAGTGTGCAAAAAAGAAGAAAATTATCCAGAGACGTCCAAGACACATTTACAGCAAACGTGTATGCCTTTCCTATTACAAAGGATTCCAAACAGATACTTCACTGTCACCCATAAATCTACTCAGATAACTTATTTACTGCAACATCGCATGAGATTGTCRCAGACGAATGACTTTGTAAAGTCCATAGGTACAACAGGCCACCACAGGGCACTTAAAGGGACTTGCCTTAGATGTAGGAGATGGGTACATCATGAATGGGTACTTATTATTTTGTCTATGGAAATTTTCACCTTCTACGAAGGAATATCCAGCTGGATAGATRAGGGCAGAGCRGTAGATGTSRTCTATCTGGAYTTGAGCAAGGCTTTTGACACTGTCCCTCACAGYATCCTCCTGGGCAAGSTCCGAAGGTGTGGGATAGATGTGTGGACGGGGAGGTGGATTAGGAATTGGCTCGATGGCAGGGTGCAGAGAGTGGTTGTCAATGGTGCGGAGTCCAGCTGGAGGCCTGTACTTAGTGGTGTCCCCCAGGGGTCAGTTCTCGGTCCGGTCCTGTTCAACTTATTCATTAACGACCTGGATGAAGGGCTGGAGTGCTCCCTCAGCAAGTTTGCCGACGATACCAACTGGGTGGAGTAGCTGATAGCCCTGAGGGCTGTGCTGCCATCCAGAGGGACCTGGACAGACTGGAGGACTGGGCGGTGAGAAACCTCATGAGGTTCAACAGGGGCAAGTGCAGGGTCCTGCACTTGGGGAGGAATAACCCTGGACACCAGTACAGATTAGGGGTGGACCTGCTGGAGAGCAGCCCCGCAGAGAGGGACCTGGGCGTCGTGGTGGACGACAAGTTGACCATGAGGCAGCAGTGTGTCCTGGTGGCCAAGAAGGCCAACGGGATCCTGGGGTGCATTAAGAAAAGCATCTCCAGCAGGTCGAGGGAAGTGATCATCCCCCTCTACTCAGCCCTGGTGAGGCCACATCTGGAGACTGCGTCCAGTTCTGGGCTCCCCAGKACAAGAGGGATGTGGAGCTGCTGGAGAGAGTCCAGCGCAGGGCTACSAGGATGATCAGGGGCCTGGAACATCTGCCCTATGAGCAAAGGCTGAGAGAGCTGGGCCTGTTCAGCCTGGAGAAGAGGAGGCTGAGGGGGGACCTGATCAGCGTGTATAAATACCTCAAGGGAGGCAGTGAGGAGGAGGGGGCGGCCTCTTTTCAGTGGTGGGCAGSGATAGGACTAGAGGAAATGGCTTCAAACTGAAGCATCGGAAGTTCCACAGGAACTTAAGGAAGCATTTCTTCACTGTGAGGGTGCCAGAGCCCTGGAACAGGCTGCCCAGAGAGGTTGTGGAGTCTCCTTCTCTGGAGATCTTTAAAACCCGCTTGGATGCAGCCCTGTGCCACGTGCTCTAGGTGACCCTGYGTGAGCAGGGGGGTTGGACTCRATGACCTCTGAGGTCCCTTCCAACCTTCGGCATTCTGTGATTCTATGATTCTATGATTAGGCTTTAAAATGGGTGGATGAATATCAGAATATTCTGAGTACTTTATGGCAAATTTAATTAGAATAGGTAACTGATCACCTAAACTTTTTACCACAAAAGATGACATTTAAGTATAACCTAAATATGACCAAAAAAAAGAAAAAGAGGGTATAAAATGTAAAATGCTGTAATCTCCATAGAGAACCAGCAATCAAAGGCTAATATCCTCACATTGTGCCAGATAATGAAACGTTAAGCTGAAGATAATAAGATTTCTTTCCACTGAGTAGT